TATGTTTTGTACACAGTTGTCAATCGGGGACCCTCTGTCAATCGGGGACCTTATTGTCCTCTATTGTTCAAGGTCCCCAATTGAATGCAGAAACAAACTCACGCACACCCCAAACCAACACCGCACTGCGGCGACATATAACGGGTCGGGGGGGGGGGCAATTTCGCCCTGCTCTTTTAAGGTAAAATGTGTCAGTTTAATGTATCAGAGTTACTCATTTTCGAACATGAATTGGAAGAGAGTGGTATGAAATAGTTCTGTATAAAAATAGGAGTTTCAGAGCATAGACAACAGCATAAAAGAAAGTGAGAATAACATCTAATCAATGTAAGAAACTCTTTTCCCCCCAAAGGTAATATCTTCGAGCTTTGTACCTTTGTATTAGGCGCTGGTGAGTCCGGGAAAAGTACCATCGTAAAACAGATGAAAATACTGCATCAAGGTGGATATGATGACGAGTAAGTAATAAAGATGTAATAAGACCTCTTCGATCAGTGCTGATATCTTAAGGATATTTTGCAAATATACATTGTTATCTCTCTTATCATGTTATCATGATATTTTCGCCTGTGCAAGTAATCAGCAGTTGTTTTAAGTAAAACACACTTTAAAATGTATGCAGTCATAATGGAAAATGGCTCTGGATTTTGAAATTCTTAAGTTAAATTGAAGCTCTTGTTCTCTCGTTTTGTGGATTATGACCCAACTCTGTAAAAAACAACGCCAATTATAAACGGTCGTTGCGTTAACTGTAAACATGTAACCGTTTAAAATTCAACTTTTTTTGGGGGGGGGACAATAAACGTGTCTGGGTGTTCAGAAAGTGTTACCACCCGATACGTGTTTTTTTTTTGGTCTTGTTATTAACATCTTAATGTGTCATTGTGTCTAAATTTACCAACCATCAACTCAACACGTTTGTGTTTAGAAAATAAACGCTACAACGTATTTACCTTTGGATTATTACATCAACACCACAACACGTTCATAAAGAGTGGCCAAGAATACGTTTAAAAGGTGCTAAAGCATGAACGTTTGTTTTAACATGGAAGTTTGTCAAAGTAAGATGGCCGACATGACCAACTACGCCTGCATCTAAAAATGTTTCTTTCAGGCAATCCAGCGGGGCTGGAAAGATATTGTTCAATTGTATTTTGGATGTCATAATGTCAAAAAGTTGGTGTGTGTGTGGTCCGGGGAGGGGGGACATTGCAAGCCATTGTGTGTTATGTAAAGTGCATCCCAAAAATTAAACACATGAAATCAAACAGCTTCCACCCAGACGCAGACTTGATGACAAGTCGTAAGATTTTGATTCCATTGGTAAGGCTCTAGTATAAAATAAGAAACATAATTGGTCGAGTTCCGTCTTGTCTAACGACTAGTCGGATACGTAGACCAGTTCACTAATATAGGTTTTCCTGGCAAATTTCGCACTTCTTTCATTTAATTTTTTATGAAAGTTCAATTTCGTCAAAGAGGGGTCAATCGCCTCAATGTCGATTCCAATATCGAAATAACACCATTTGAATCCAATTTCAGAGCATTGTAATTCACGAGAAACAAAAATCTTATTCGTCCTATTTATCGTCATTTTATCTCCTTCAAGGAAGGGTTAAACATTGGAAAAGTAAAATTCAATTTCTTTAGTGACAAGAAAAAGCTGAAACGCAGCACTTACATTTCGAATTTCATGCGATCTCACCGAAGTTGTATGATAAAAGCATGTAACTGAATGATCATTACAAGAACGGCCAGATGATGACTGGTAACTTGTCTTTCATATATTAAATTCTTCAAACATGCCACAAGAACAATTTTGCATTTCCAATTCCGTGCCATTCCAGAAGTGAGACGAAAATGACGATAAATATGAAGAATAAGATTTTTTCGTGAATTACTGGGCCATGAAAGTGAAATCTTGTGATGTTATTTCGAAATTGGATTCAACTTTTGGTTAAGTGACCCCCGGGAAACCTATACATTCTTGTTTATGTGCTCATGCGCATACAATTGGCCAGGGAAGGCAACGAGCTAGAGCGGCCCATTGAAAATATTCAGAGGCACAAACCTGAAAGTGATTTTCCCACAGTTTCTGTAAACTGCAGAGCCCGAGAGAAAGTGACGTTCAAATTAATGCCCCTTTCCTTTTTGGGTACTGTTGAATAGAACGAATAATGCAGTGACGCATAATTAACGACCAGCAAATGACATGATGGGAATTAATGCAGGATTTGGACAAAATTTATTAGACAACTGAACTGCTCTATTTATATCTACGTGCAGCGCGATACATGTACATGTTGTATGTGTGAGAGATCCTAAGGCACAAAGCTGTGCAAAGGAGAGGATTCACCCATTGACAAGGATGACTTCTATCACCAACTCGAACGTCTAATCACTTGAATACAGGGTACGAGAGCGTAGTGGACGTTTCCACTCTGGCCAACCAAACGACAACTCGGCACGCCTTGTCATTATGTGCTCCCTTACCAATCTATCAGTCGTCGGTTCCTGCTTTAGATGGAAGGAAATCCACCACTGCACATGGCTGTCCAACGATGGTAACAGTGGGAAGGAGACCGACCACATCCTGACTACAGACTGCTCACTCTTTTTCTCTCATTGAGTTAACAAAGGAACTCAGGCCCCAGCGAACACTGATCAGAGGCTCATTATTGGCACAGTCAAAATTCAGGCCTATCGGAAGTTGCCAAAATCAAGCTGGACACCAGATCTCTCATAGATAGCTCTAGCATAGCAATAGATTACAACAACGCTGTGAGCCAAAGAAAAAAAATTGAAGCTCTTTGGCGCACTCAGAGCCGACCCAGGAACTGGTTGGTCTGCTCTCCGGTTAGCCAGCCTTTCTGCTGCTTCAGACACAATCAGCACCTGCAGGCATAAAAAGTGCCCCTGGCTGACCGACGAAACTCTGGATCTCCTCGAACAGAAACGCAATGCACATCTTCGCGGCGAAACAGACAGACTAAAAAGTTTTTTTTCAAAACTAGAGCTAAAAATGATCTTGAGTTTTATAAAAGGCTTGCTGATGACGCCGAAGAACGGCTGCGCTGGAACAACTTGCACCCATCTTTTCAGGCCCTTCAAGCGTATGCGCGACCCCCCACAAGGAAACTCCACCTCACATGTAGTTAAGGCCGACGGCGCCACATGCAAATCAGTCATGGAGACTCTAGCCCGCTGGTGTGAGCACTACTTGTACATGCGTTCTCTCGACCATCCCCTGCCATGCCCTGCTTGGACCTCACCGCACAGGCAAAAGCCACATTGTGGTGGTTGAACCTCCACCACATCTCTCCTTCGACGCTCCGAGTCCTAATCTGTCTGACGTGCGCCGAGCCATCAGAAACTCAAGACGGCATACCTCCTGAATTGATTAAGTGAGCAGATGCCCCAATTAGCGCGGCTTTCCATGATCTCTTAACTTGTCCACAGAGTCTCCGGTGATTGGAGGGATGGCATCATCATTTCCTTATACAAAATGAAAGGTTCCTAAAACTAGAGCAGCATTACAGGTCTATCTCGCTGCTCTCGGTAGGTATTCTGCCACATCCTGCTCTCTCGCCTGGAGCCTCTGTTCATCCAACACCGTCACCATCAGCAGTCTCGTTTCACAAGATGCTGGTCAACTATGGACGTAGCTATCTGACTTTCGCTGGAGCTACACTGCGAGTTCGAAAGGCCTCTTCATGTTGCCTATGATGACATCAAGGCAGTATTTACTCGGTAGATCGGTAAGCTCTATGGCAGGCTCTGAAAGTAACTGCAGTTCCACTAAATTTTCTCCATCTGATCCAGGCTGTGCACGAGGGCAGCACGTACACTGTGCGTATCGGCGACTTTTCAACACCCTTCCCCCATACTTCTGGCGTCCATCAGGGCTTAATCCTCTCACCAGCTCTATTCTGCTGTGTCATCGACTTGATCCTAAGTCGCTGCCAGTCTGACCTTGGAATAACTGTCGGAGATAAGCCATTCAAAGACCTGGCCTACGCCGATGATGCCGCCCTGTTTTTAGGAAAACCCCACTAGTGGTCCATTCCTCTCTAGTGATTTGAGGAAGAAGCTGGAACGACGGCCATGCTCGTGTTCTGGGCAAAAACGAAGATCCTGAACTGCCCCGGCCTCGTACATGTATTTCTGAAGGAATTGTTTTCTCTGCGGGTACATGTATTGATAGGTGCTTTATTACAGGTGCATACACTTCACACGGGGTTCAGTTAGGGTGGTTTGTCATTTTAATAAAATCACTTGATTTAAATTTCTTATTCAAATCCAACTTTAGTAACAGAAGAAATAAATAAAAGAAAACACACGTGCAGTTAGTTTGCTTGCTTTTGAACTGATAATTGAGAAAACGTGATTCCTATCTTGACGAAAAAAAATCGAATTAAAAAGGAATCTGATTTAAATCCATAATAGCTGATTTTGTTTTTCAAATTGTTTTTAAATTAAAAAATCGCAACCCTGCAAGTTACTCAGAACAAATTATTTGAGTTTATTTTAAAGATGGGTTCTATAGATCTCATGTTCGCCAAACAGAATTGGACCAGTTCGGCATGCTGAGCATCGCTGATTGTGTTACACATCTTAAGCTGAACCATACACATAAAATTTTTCATGAAATGACACCACTATCTGTGTCATTTAGGCAGGTTTCAGACATGCATTGTAATTCTACCAGGGATGGTTCAACCAATTTTGTACTTCCAAAAATAAAAGGGCCAGATAGAGTGCATTTCATTTTATAGTGTATACTCCTGTGTAAAATCTACTACCTAATAGTACCAAATGCCGCTAATCATGATCAATTTATAAGAGCAACAAAAGCCATCCCCCTCTCAGTCTAATCTTTCAAACGGTCTGTTGATCCCCTGTATGCACTTTTTTCCAAGCAATTATAAATATCATTTTGTATTGTACGTTTACTTGTGTTCTTAAGGACCCCAGTGGAAACAAGACATGTTACTAACAACTTTTCGGATTTATTTTTTGCCAAGATAGAATGAAAAAAATACAAACAACCCTCGAAACGTTATAGTAGTTTCGGGGAAAAAAGCAAACTCTGTGCCTTTCGTATGTTCTAAATTGTGTGCTTTTTTAATTTGATTTGGCACTTTTTGAGTGAAAATTAAAACGTGCCTTGTGAAGTTCGCAATACTAACAGGAGTGCCTAATTCCTTGGTGACTATGCCTATTTCCTTATACTGTGTACACATTCACTCAACATTACATCCGATTTTATCGGTCTCCTGGGTAATAACCCGGGTATTTCAACAACAAATTTATTTGCTCTAACATCAAATCATCTGCTTTATAACCTGTTACAGGGAAAGGAGAGAATTTATCCCCATTATCCGTGGAAATCTTAGAGATGCTATACTGGTAAGAAAGAAACTGCTAAGTATTTCAAGCATTTCCCATTCGCTTAAAATTACTGTGAATACTGAACACATCGTTGAATACTTCTACTTTCATGATATAATTATGTTTTCAGTTTTGTGAATGTATTTCAAGCAGGAAAAACTGCCCAAGGATACCATCATCAGGGCCACAAGAGTGATAATTGTTCAAGTATATTTCCCTGTTGAAAATCCTCATATATTTTAGACTATTACTGGCAGTATGCAAACTCTGCAGCCAACAATACATCTCAGCGATCCTACTCTCAAGCCTTGCCTCGATTATATGCTAGATCATGCATCTCTTCCAGATTTTCAGTACACAGAGGTATGGTATGTTCAATTTTTGACATTGTGTCTGACTTTCACAGTCAAGGGCATACATGTATCTTTTAAATCCTTTCAAAATTATTAGCCAACCCATCTTTAATATTTTTCGACTTTTCGTGTGGTAAAAATGGATAAAAAAAAGAAAAAAGAAAAAACTTTTGCACTACCATAGAAAAAATCAGCTCAAACAAAGCACCTCAGAACAGATTTTTAACTGTAATTATTAGGAATTCTATTACAAATTCTTAAACAAAGCACCTCAGAACAGATTTTTAACTGTAATTATTAGGAATTCTATAACAAGGCAAAGATGTTGTGGGAAGATGAAGGTGTACAGGAGTGCTACGGACGAGCTAATGAATACCAACTCATCGACAGTGCGGAGTAGTAAGCTATCTTTATTCTAAATTATAAAAATATAACAACGAAATTCCAAGTCTTGCTTTATTTTCTCACTATATCGTCTTCATTTTGATTTTGTTGCCGGTGATTTAAAAACAATAGTTCTAGAAATTATGGGTAATATTTTATCTTTTCAAAATCGAAATGGACAAAATGATATGTAGGACCGTACACTTCCAAGTTTAATTCATTTAAGCTAAATATTTTAGCATTTGGTTATTGACATATACTTACTTAGCTATATTTCAAGATGAAAGGTTTTCTGGATTTCTAGAATTTCTTCGGGGGGAGGGAAGGATTGGCTTTCAATAGTTCTTCAGTTTAAGAAGTATGTCCCAACCACTTTTTGTGACAAGTGAAGCAACTGTTCCACAAAGTTGGGAGATAGGATGTGGCCTTGGCTGGTTTGTGTGACTCAGTTACCTAAGTTAATTCTAGGATGTAACAATACTTGAAAATTCACATAACAAGTATTAAAAAAGAAGCAGTTCCTTTAATCCGAGAATAGCCATGATTGCCAATATTTATAGATCCATCTACCTTTGTATCATTGCTTCAGTTTTCTTGATCACATTGATGAGATTCGAGAAGAAGACTATTCACCTTCAAACCAGGTAAATGTCGAACTTCCTTGTTCAAAATAAGATTCATTGAGCATGTGTAATGAGGCTATTCTTATACAGTGCTGCTGTTGCTTAAATGTGAAATATATCAAAATTTGAGATATACAAACACTCGTCAAGTACCCAGGCAATGTTGTGGTATTGTCACATAGTGTATAACTGTGTTGTAAAATCATCAAGTATATATTTTGGAAATTTAACCCTTAGTCTGTTTTATCAAAGAAATAAAAAGGAAACACACTAAAGGTTGGTTAAAAAATGTCCATATACATGTACGTACACCTTTAAAATGGGCTTCCATGTTAGTAAAGTATGTGTCAGTTTTTGCCATTTTGCTGTTTGTTCAAGTTTAAAATTGCTTCAATATATTAGTCGGCAGGACAAACATGTCAAAAACATTGCCAGGAGCAAAATTGGCTCTTTAATAAATATTGCAGAACTTGTTCTCAATAATTGTGTATTACAAGGGCTTGCAAAATCTAAGTTATCTAAATGATGACCTTAATATAACAGTGTGGTGATTTTATTGAGGTTTACTGTAATTAAAATTGGATTCAAAGTTAGAAGCCAACTCAACTTGGTAGTGGATGGGGCTGCAACTTCCCCCCTCCCATTTAACACCTGACAAAACTATTTGATTAAAAAGGGTCCAAAAGAGCCCCCAAAAGCCGAAACTGTTGTTCAAATGTATCATTATTATCATTGGGCCCATAAATGATCCTAAAACCATTGCAGCTCTACCATCTACAGCCCCATTCTACCATTCCAGGTGCATATGTGTAACTAGAATGGCGAAGCCACCATGACTAGCTGCTTTGTATGAATCTCTGAGTTTCTTTGTATATAAAGCAGCTTGTATTAAGAGTCATCCATGCAAATTACAAATTGCACTGAAATTAAACAAGGAATCAACCTGACTAAGTGCAAGCTTACCACCATTTTTTAAAACAGCAAGTAAAGAAAAATGGGCCGATAAACAACATTATGGATGTAAAAATAAATGGAACCTTCAAGGTTTCAACCCACCCCATCACCCCATCCATCTTTTACTCTACCCCCAATTGGTACAATCCCACCAATCTTCTACTCTGCCCCAACCCAATCATCCAATCCATCTCTTACTCCAACTCCCAGCTAATCATCCAATCCATCTCCAACTCCCCATCCCATCATCCCAACCATCTAGTACTCCACCTTCACCCCATCATCCCATCCATTTCCTGCTCCAACCGGATCCCACCCCATCTACTCTTCCCCTTACCCCATCATCCTTACCCATCTCCCTTTATATGTGTGACACACATTGTAATGGACATGTGCTTACAGTACAGGAGTGTACAGTAATCACATGTACATGTGTGTGTGTCAACATGTGTGTATGTGTAACACAATTAAAACCTTTAATTTTAAAATTTATACATGTATGTAAACAACACGTCAAAGCTTGGATCCCAAATAAAGATCTGATGCCAATAAATTCAAGATTGAATAAGCAAGCACAGATAGCACATACTATACCCACAAGAAAAAAGTTTAACATTGAGGGCCAGACATACACCCCAATGGATGGATGGACAGAAATTGGTATTACATGGGCTCACAATTGCGTTGCAGCTCACCAATAAAGCACAAAAAGGAATATGCCCCTTACTCTCCATGGTGGAGACACGCCTTCCCTCAAGTATTATCACATCCCCTCTTTCTTGAGAATTAGATCTGCCCTATCTGCAACTGTGTGACCCTGTTTAATCCTTTTCTCCTGCTGAGCATGTACTGCTTCAAAGTTGACATCATTCACCTTTATCCACACTGAATTCAGCCATACAGTATTTTCCACCAGCCCAACAATAGTATTTGAGATGAATTTCAACCTTACTTTATTTATTGACCAGGTCTCATACATGTTATTCACAACTGCAGGACATACTGAGATCAAGGAAGATCACAACAGGTGTACTACAAACTAGTTTTGAAGTAAATAACGTGCATTTCCAGTGAGTGGCTTGCATGGGTATTGTCAATTGTAAACCGTTTCCTTGTTAATTTGTAATTTGTTTATTTGTGTGTGTGTTTTTTTCTTTGTATGCCCGTAGAAAACAATTTATCCATTAATTGGATTCACCATTAAAAAAATCACACATATTTCTCTCATGCATGAATGTGCGGACAGGAGGGGTCAACCCCCCTCCAAAATAAGGGGGGAAATAGAGATATAACAAAATAACTAAAGTAAGTGCACCAATACCATTGTAAACAATGTATGCCATGTAATGCTTCATCATCATTTCTGTTTGTCTACAAAAAGGAAATATTAAAAAAATCTCCTGCCTGAACCCCTCTCCCCCTGAAAAATTCCTGGATCCTCCCTTGTACATTGCCTTGAAGTCATGATCATGAATATTTGAAGTTAGAAGCAAGTGTAAAAGCCCAGTAAGTGAATAGAAAAAGCCTTTGCAACCTACACAATTTCACTTATTTTCCACAGATCAGTATCTGTGGCCAGTACTACATGAAACATTGCTTAATTAAATTAGTTATCTGTGGTAATGGCATGACAGGCCATGTACCTTTGACATCCATTTCAAGCCTTTCCACAAACCTGGATGTAGGGCTCATACACCAAGTATACCTGCACAATACGTCTAGGTTATATCACTGACTTCTGTTTTTGCTTTATTTTGAGCAGGATGTTGGATGTTGGTGGCCAAAGAGATGAGAGGAAAAAGTGGATCCAGTGCTTTTCAGGTTAGCAATATATATAAGACGTATTATGTGTTTATCTATTATTGACTGTGAATACCAGATGTGTGTCTATTTAGGCTTTTTCTAATTATAAAAAGATGTGAACATGAAAATCTCTATAAAGACATTAAAAAGCTACTTGGACTTCCCAGTTTTTAATTTTTTATTTTCACTGTTGTAGATATTACAGCATTGATCTTCGTGGTTGCTTGCAGTAGCTTTGACCTTGTCTTGCGTGAAGACCAGAATAAGAATCGCTTACAGGAGTCTCTTGAACTGTATGAAAGACTGTGGAAAAACAGGTACTAGCTGGTTTAACCACCGTACGAACAGTGCAAACAGTTATAAACACAAAAACTATTGCTACAAAAGCCATATTGTAACAGTATTCTTTTTCTTCTGACAAGCTAAAACATCACCACAGATAGTTAAGGTGCCTCATGAAATTTTGGTCAGCAGTATGCTTGTGTTTACTGCTGGACAAACAACCTGCCTTGAAATATCTTCTTCACTGTTGATGGCTTCATGCTAAAGTACAGAAAATTTAACTTTGATGTTGTGGTGCCATATGAATCCAATTTGAGCAGCAAACATACAGTTGGCTTGCTTTTCCACTTGTACCAAAATACCAAAATGCCAAATTTGGTGAACACTTGGCATACAATCTCTGAAAAGTGTAAGTATCAACAGTAATAACTACAGAGTTTAAGTTGTCTTTCTAAAAACAATTATTTCTATGGTTTCAGTACCCAATTTAAAGTTTAATTTAAGCATGCAAAGGGAAATGAAGTGCTCTAGACCACATGGAGACAATATTTTTACATAACATATCAGTTTGAATTTAACATTGAAACAATCTAGTTGATCAAAGCATATTGTAATTTTTGACAGGTTTCTGAGGAGTACCTCAGTAATTTTGTTCCTGAATAAACAAGATATTTTAGCCCAGAAAGTGTCAAAGGGTACATCTCTGCTTGGCCACTACTTCACAGACTATGAAAATTTTGAGCCTCCAGGTTAGTTAATTCCACCTTCTGATGTGAGATAACAATATGTTGTTCTATTACTGGATGTTCTAATTCCACTCTTTACACGTATGTGCACTATTTTTTTGTTTTTCTTTTGAAGGCAATCCTTTTCCAAATCTTTTTTAAATGAAATTACAAATGATCTGAGCTGCTTTAATAACCAGCCTTTTTGTGTTATTACTATCAAATGAACTTTATCTACAGCCTATGCTGTTGGGTGAATTTCTCCCACTGTACTCTCTCTTTTCAGGTGCCACTTTTGGTTTTGCAATGCTCCATATTTCTCCTCTCCCAAACAATTCTCCATGGCTGTATGTACATCAAATAGCAACACATTGGATTTACCCAAAAGCTCACACAGTCATACAGCAGGCAGCAATGCTGAATATGCCCTACAGTTACAAGTACCTTTGACAGAATCAAGACACCATGCTAAAGCATACACAAAATAAAGCGTATGTTTTGGTAACATCCAATATGGGTGATTCAGAGTAGTGCGCGTCCAAGAGTTTTGACATGCCTTGGCCAATCACAATACGAAAAATCTGTCAACCCAATGCACATTTGGAAAGGGTCAACAGATTTTGTGCTTTTTGATTGGTCAATGTGTTGCAAACTCGTGGAGATACACTATTTGTAAATTGCCTGAATTGCAATTGAACTGCTCTTTAAACTGAGACGATAAAAACTCCAAAATTCACCCTCTAAAACCGAGTCCATGCATGGTCCATCAGAGGCAAAGATGTAGTTTAGTGCCTGCCTATTATGAGCATCTGTGAAGGCCCCCCAACACATTCCCACGCAAAGAAATGTCCCAAGATTTTCCTGTCTTCTTCTTAGATTGATGTGGATCTGAAATATTGGATAATTTCTCCCCCCCCCCCGAATGTGAATGGGTCTGCGACTGAATACCTACCCCAAACAGTTGCTAAATATGCAAATACCTTTGTATTTGACTCTATTTGCTAAAATCTTGATCAACTGTAGTGTGCCCTCTAGTCCCATGATGCACAATGGAGATGCCACCACATTTGTCCTCCTTTTCCGCTATTAGAACCGTCTGAGCAAAAAGTGAGGAAGGATGGGAGGGAGCTGACAATACAGGGTAGGTATTCAATAGCAGACCTCACCCATATTCCTACGGGGAGAAGTTTTCTGCTTTCATCCTACCCCAAACAGTTGTTAAATATGCAGAGTAGCACCCCTCCCTTGGTGGGGGGTGGTGAGGATGCACTACATAAAAGTGTGTAGAAACATATAAACCTTAAGGACCATAGTGCGGACTAACTAGGTAATGGAGCCATAAGACAGTTCCTGTGGTAGACCGCTCTGATGAGGTGCTCTTCTGTGTTGATGTGGCCAATGTCAGGACAGCCCTGTTATGTGAGGAGCCCCTTTGCAAGACCAAGACATTGGTAAGGTAGTACACAGTAATGAACGTAGATGGGGTCTTCCAGCATGCCATCTTGCATATCTTCTCCACCAGTACACCCGGAAGTAGGACCACCATAGGTCCATACTGGCCAAATATCATAAGCCCTTATGAGGCATTGAGTTTGATTCTCCGAAGAATTCAGCCAGCTATAGTCTCTCTGGTCACAGCTCGGTAAGGCTTTATCGTAGTTACGAAGGGTTCCGATCTGATACCTCTGAGTTCTCTGGTTCTGGCTAGGCACTATTTCAAAGTTCGCACTAGGCACCAGTATCTTTAAGAGTTTGCATTGGGCACCATGGCTTGTTGTCTGGGGTCCCAGTGTGTTTAGTGATGTCCGGCACAAATATATCAGGAGTGTGGAAGGAGAAAGACTGGTTCTTAGTGAGGAATCCCAGTGCAAGGATGAGATGAACACTATGGGGTTCCCATCAGATATGACCGTCAGTGATGGACAAGGCTTTCAGTTTGCTGTCTCAGCATGAGGTAGTAACTGCTAGTAGAAATGCCAGTTTCACTGTCACTTTGCTGAGAGGCTCAAAGGGGGGAAGCAAGCAGTTGAAGGACAGCTGACAGGTCCCAGGAAGTAATTAGTCGCTTGGTAGGAGGACGTTCAAGAAACATTTCTCGGAGGTGTTTAAGGGCATCATTGTCGGACATGGTCATACCATTGGGGAAGCCGTCATATACAGCAGCGATAGCTGACTAGTAGTTGTGGATGGTTGACACTCGAAAATATTACTTGAACATATGCATGAAAAAATCAGCCACAGTAGTCATAGAAACTTCGGTCGGAGCAAGACCTTGCTCTGTACACCACAAAGTAAAATGTTGTAATCTGGCGTCGTTGATGCTGTGCATAGATTGGCATCGACTCTTTGAGGTCATCTTGGCAGCTTCATCAGAAAGTCCTGCTGACCGGAAGGATCGTTTGACAATGAACAGCAGGTCAGCTAGGTGTAGGTACGCTGGATGAGGGTAGAGAATGCCTGGCTTTGGTTGGTGGAGTAGATCCAGTCTGGTGGGAAGAATGATCGGCGCTTCCACAAGTAGTCTGGTTAGATGAGGGATCAAGGCTGGCAAGGCCAGAGGGGGCATTGAGAAGAACAGGACACTGCTCCCATTTGATCTTGGCGAGCACCGCTGGTATCAGGGATATTGGAGGAAAGGCGTAGGCCGAAGTCCTTCCCTCGAGTGTCATGGGCAAATGCATCCTCATACTCTTGGACAAAACATGGAGGTGTCATACATCAATTGTTAGGAGGGCAAGCATTCACCTCGCCAATGCCTCCTGACAGGACAGATGCTCCCATGGGATCAGTATCAGGGTATTGATCTCTAGGTGACCCACGTCCCCGGTGTTGACAACTCCATCGCAGATGCCCTCTCTTATTGGAAAATACTTTCAGTGAAGTGGACACTGTATGCCAGCGTGGTCAAACACATCTTCGCCAAAGTGGAGAAGCCAAACATCAGCCTGTTTGCTCCAGTGAAGAAGGCCCATCTGCCAATGTTCTGCAACAGATTCTACCACCCGCAGGCTTGAGCAACGAATGCTCTTCAGACCGGCTGGGAAGGGATGTTGGATTACATTTCCCCTTAGAGCTCTTCTGAGGTGGCTTGGCAGACTGAAAAGATGATTGTCTGGTGGCTAGACTGAAGAAAGGGCAGAGATGACCCTGAGTACCCATGATGCGGAGAGCTGAAGGGTCAAGCCCGGCAGTCATCTATACGGGACTAGCAGGGAGGGACTTGCAGAGGAGGTTCATGAAAACTAAGCTTGCAGGTCGAGTGGATCTGCTTAGCTTCAGTCGCCATCATCTCCATGAACTTCCTGGCAAAAAGGTCTATGCTGTAAAGAGGGAGATCCTGGGGTCTCGACATGACTTCCTTTTAGGGGATGTTCATGGTGTCCAAGGTGTTGGATCTGCATGCAGAAGTGGCTAGAATGGAGATATGTACAAACTGCTGAAAGATAGAATTTATATTCTCATCAAACACTCGGAATGCACTGGCTACTAAGTCTTGGGTCATGGGCGAAGTCTTCTTTGCAGGCATAGGCCAGGTATTCAGACAGGAGAGCCATAAAGGCAGTACAGAGACCTTGCCATGAAGCTCTGTCAAGTCTGGAGACAGTAGCTTCAAAGGTACACCTAGGCTTGTCTTTGAAAGGGGATTTCCCAGTGGACTTCTGAGCATTGGAGAACAGTTTATCCTTGGGCTCAGTAGGGATCTCAGGGGGAGAGAGAAAATATTTGAAGTTCTTGAAATTCTTGAAATCTTTGAATTGGAAATAAGTTGGTGCTCTGGGGGAAGGGGTACAGGTGCCACTGCTTCATGCTAGTGAGAATTTAAACATCTTGAGGCATGAGTGGTCCATCCGCAGCTCGAGGAAGAGCAGAGCCGATGCCTCTACTCCAGCAGGGTGGCGTTTGAAGGAGGCATTTGACTGGGCCTCAGCCGTGGATGGGTTGGAAGGCAGGCCTAGAATCTGAATCATATCTCTCTGGAGAAGACAGAGACGTGCCTCCAGAGTAGTAAGGTTGGCTGCAGAGGTAATGTCTTCGTCTTTGGAAGGCGTATCCTGTTATGATTGAGGCTGGTCGGTAGAATGAAGGAAGTCATATTTGGCACAGTGACTGGGAGCAGAATGTGAGGTGTAGTCAAGGCTGAAACCCGGCCAAGCAGGTTGAAGGGATGAAGCCATCATGAGAAGATCAGATTGTAGGAGGTGGATGTGGATGCATTTTGCGGGAAGACTGTTTATCTGGTATGATTGGATTTCCGGGCATTAACCAAACACTGCTGAGCGACCCAAACTAGCACTCGAACGTATGCTTAGTAAGTCCCACTTTGTACTGTTATGGGTGTGCTGAGTTCCTAACAACCTCGTCTACATGGGCTGCATGTGTGTTCGAGTTGAAATTGCTCAAGGCATGTTGGGAACCAGCGTATGGCGTTGCAAGATCGTACCAACGAGACTGAGGTTGCATATTTACATGTACTGACCGTGGATAGCTCTCCTACATCCGCATTATGGTTCAACGCAACGTATATATACATGATGTGCATGTATAATGAATGCACCAGTCAGAGATCTCTTGCGTGAAGGCGGCAAAGTCAAAGTAATTCCCCGATCTCCCAGTCTCATCATCATAATATTTCTTTGTATGCCTAAGCCACCGTGCATGCCAAATGTGCAACCACAGTGTACATATGTACATGTACGCAACTGGAAAAATCAGCATGCCGAATAAATGAGCATGTTGCAGCAACATGCTCATTCATACAGAGGCGTTCTGCCGGAAATCCGAGCACGCCGGATAAATGAGACCGTTACACGATGGCAGAGGAGGCCGGTAGGTTCTGCTGCCTGGGATGTGGCCCGGCATTGTCTCCGCAGGGGCCGCCTTGGATGGCAACTGGGTGTCGGCCCAGGAGGGACTAGTGTCCATGTCATGTCCGGGAGCACTGGTTGAAAGGACGTCTGAAAATGGCGGCATGTGGTGTGAGGCAGTCGGCTCGGCCAGTGCAGGAGGCATGGGGCCGTCCCGGCTCGGGGCCTTGTGAACCATACTGGTGGGTCAGTGTGGTCTCCACAGAGAGGGTGCTATGCACACTGGAATACACTCACAACTGGCAGACCTGTGTGCAAGGTCGTGGCATGATGTGTAACAAAAAACAAAGGTAGTCTCTTTCACTAAGTACGAAATATAGTGCTAAAATCGTTACTATTAAAAGTCTAAATCTATAACTTCAAAGTTATTAGTAAAGATTATAAGAAGTTAATAAAGACAGAAAACATTAAGATGAATTCACTGCACAGCTGCTGCAGTCACACCGAGTGCAGCACCACTCTGCACTATTGTTGACTGCAGTGGTAGATTTAGGGAACTGAGCATCTGCATATTGCATGCACTCAGACTCTCAGACACCTTGAAATGCGGCTAACCCTGAACTAGTTACTGCCAGCAGGAATTAGCACGGAATCACAAGTATAGCTGGAATGCCACTCGATCTTCTGCAGACTGACTCCTATCGGTTGGCAAGGTAGTTCTTTCCTCGTCTTCCATCTCTGTGGTCCCGGGTTCGATTCCCAGCCTAGTCCACATGTGGATTGGGTTTTCAGTCCCTACCTGACTCTGTGGGTTTTATCCAGAATATTCCTCTGGGGTTTTCCTCCCACCTCTAAAACTGTAACTGCCTCTTACTGTCTCCCCTTCACTGACGTTAGTGAATCTTGGTCATTTGGTGGCTGCCCGAGGCACCCTTGTATGCCATTGGCTCAGCCACATTTAAATGTATTCATTGTTCCACGCTTAATGTCTTCATTGTATAGTGCATTTGAACATATCTTTACGAAATTTGCACTTTATAAATGAATAAATTATTATTATTATCGGTTAATAGGGAAGAGTGGAGGACCATGAAATCGAATCACACGCACCTCCTCATGGAGCCCCCAGCAATCCCAGGGTTGCCCCATTGACCCTATATATACTGGGAAAGCGAGGGACCGTGGAATCGAATCACTCACACCACTGACCTCGCAGAGCCCTCAACAATCCCAAGGTTGCCCTGTGTTGACCCTATGTATATTACTCGGTGTTACAGCAACATAGAGTCAATGTGAGAACCTATGAAATGCATACACATAAAGAGGGAAGAAAATACCGAGAAAAACAAGAAGATACACATCAATCAAGAAAAATACATCAATATGTTAAATGAACTTTTATTACAATACGTTACAGTTGATCAAAATAACACAGGAATGTGATAGCAAATCGGAAACTCGAAAAACTCAAAGATACCAAAAATGACATGTTCGTTAAGAATCCATTAAGGAAAAGGAGGACAAACATGGCGACTGCTCCACCATTCATCATTGGACTTAAGGGCACACTACGGTTGATAAAGATTTTAGCGAACAGAATCAGACGCAAAGGAACTTGCACATTTGGGATGAAAGCAGAATAAAACATTTCATAGTAAATCTACCCTTAAGATAGATTAAAAACAGATACCCGAGAGTCAGGCTATAAACATATTTTTTATGAAATGTTCATTTCAAACAGGGAAATATTACAAAAAATTGCTTGAAAGTTGCCCCTCCAACAGATTTCTGAATCCAGAAATAAGTGAACAGCCGAGTTTTTCCCAAATGCTTGTTCACCGAATCAGAAACACAAAGACCAACAACATTTGGGGAAATCTGCAGAGAGTGAGTATCTTACAGCAGCAATCTCGCCATGGCAAGTTGACATCTCACTGCGGCAATTTCCTACCTTTGTACATTGAGACAGATACTCAGTGGACAATAACTTGCCATGGTGAGATAACTTGCTGCAGCAGGATGGTTACTCACCACAGTGAGATAGTAGCACAACTTCTTGCTCATGGCCCTATATTACTCAACACCAGTGATGAATGTTGGAATAGACCATTGTAACAACTCTTTGCAGGAGATGCAGAATGTAATTAAGAGTCACTTTTGTATGTTTACACTATGGCATTATTCAGTATACATACTTATATTAGCCAATATCATTTAACTTTAATTTTGTGAAAAAACACAACTAATATACCTTTTTCTACACTAGAAACCATTGAACCTCCTGAAGGTTGGTGCTGCTTTTCAACTAAGACTAAGAGAGCCGAACAAAGGCGACGAGAATCAAGTAAGTCACATGAGAACTATTGAATCATGTACCTAAAAGTCACTGATCTTGTCATCCACTCTAACGAAATACAATCCTTAACTTTGCAGACAAGGTTTCACTGCAGGGCAGGGATGCTGCTTTACCTACCACACCTTACATTTAACAGGCTTAGACAGCTATCTTGCTATAACAATATCAAACAATCACCAAAACAGTTAAAGGTTTTACCAAAATGTCTTTCAGTATGTATCACAAACTTGTAGCTAGTTTTGGGCACAGTTGGCTGTGGCTTGAAATTACACATCGCAAGACTTGGACGAAAAAACTTGTAACTTGCTTGTGTTTAGACCAAATTGACTTGTGACTAAACTGAGACTTGCAAAAATTGACTTGTGACCACCTCTGGAAAGCAGCATGTGGCTGTGGCATAAATTTAATCACTTTTGTTTTACACATTCCAAAGCATTAAGCAGTACAACATCACCATTTGCTTTTCAGTGTTCCCTGCACTGAATATCAGCGAGAGTAAAGAATTTTTCAAGGCGAAAAGTTTCATCAAAACCAAATTCCAGGTATGTAAATCAAGACACTTTCCTATAAATGCTCTAAAAATGTGTATCATGCATTTAACCCCCCCCTCAAGAACAGACAGACCGCCGTTTATCACAAGTTCCAGCTGCCATAAATAAGTGAATAGTTGATAACACAAAATACCAGTCAACCAGTAGAGTCAGCCCATGCAAAGGTAGGCGGTGCTAGGTAACTGTTGTAAATGCATAGATCCCATGGGACTCAGAGAAGACATGCCTTGGATTGTATTGCTTTGTGTTAAGTTCCAGCTTTAACAACTTGTTTTCAACCAGTTTTTAATTTTAAGCCACCATGCACTATTAGCTATTGATCAGCTTTAAAATTGCACACAGTATATCACTTACTAGTTATTTCTGTTCAGTGATAATAGCAAAATTTAACATCTTATATTTTTCCTGTAATTATGATGCTGCAACCTAAATTATATGAACTTGAATTATTTTCAAAAGTAAGTATTTGTCATATTTAAAGTGTAAAGTTGAAACTACATGAGTTATTGTTCTTGTCTATTTATGCATACAATTTACATTATCTCCTCAGAACATCAGCATAAGGATAAACAAAGATACAAGGTTTAAGAAAGGATGCTATCCTCACTACACATGTGCTGTGGATCAGGAGAATATCAAACGTGTCTTTCATGATTGTGAAGACATGATACAAAGAGAACATCTCAAGAAGTTTAATTTATTATAATTACCCCAGCAGGGCTTCAAAAAAGGGAAAAGATTACTAAGAATTCCCTTGAAACAATGCTCACGACACGTGTATGTGGACAGAACTCTATCATGTTGTAGCAAAAGAACATTAATGCTCTCTAGTAGGCATTTATCCTTGGGGTGAGAAAGTAGGGCAGATATTGTTTCCCTTCCCAAATCTCTTGGTGGCAAGAATATGTTCCATGAATTTGCATGATGTCTTCTGTTGTTTTCCTTATACCTTGCCTCTAAATGATTTATAAGTTGTCGATACACCCTGTAACCATGACACACTTTATTCTTCAGGAGCAGTTGCATGAAATATTGTCTTCAAGCAAACTTGAATTCTCAGTTCTGATTGGTTGTTCCATGGCAAAAAAATGTGTGATGTGTAGGCCTAACTGTAGTGCACGGTTCATATCAAACCCCGCATAATACGCTTTTCTACTCAATGCTCACTATTTTACACTAAGAGCAACACACACATCTGCAAAATTTACTTTGAATTCAAAGTTGGCACATTTGTGAACATAGGTCCCTATTACAAGTTTATTGCAAGTCAAGTTTGCTTGAAGATTAATTTGTTAGCATGCTCACACTCGTGGAACACAGAATAATGTAGTGCCTAAGTGTCCCAATACCACTCAGCCTTCAGCCTCGTGATAAACGGGACACAGATACATTATTCCATGTTCCACTCACGCTCGAGTGATAACCAATAAACTAAAATGAGCAACATACTCAAGTACTTACTCTAAAAGAGCCATTTCTACGAGCACCTGAGTAGCACAAATTGTGCATTTACATATTGTGTGACTCTTATTAATAGCAGTGATCATGTTTTTGATATTTATATAATATCTCATGGATACATTGCATTTTATTTAAATTATTCCACTTAGAGTTCCTCTCAGAATTAAAAAAAAATTACATTACTCAGTTTCATTATACACTGGTTAGTTTATGATAGAAAATCTTAAATTTATATCCATTTTTCATACAAGGATAAAGTACGTACATCTGATGAACAGAAATAAGAATCTTGTATTCAAGAATCAGTTAGATGGGAATTAACTTTGCAAAATCAACTCATAAAATTCTATCCTTATGTTTTATCACCAAACTTAAATTTTCAGAATGGCCGTGTATAAAATGCCTATCAAATGGTTTCTTGCACTCTAGTCTAATTCATCTTATCCACATCACTTATGTGCAGGCACAGCCTTAACCTTACAAGTCAGAATTTCATTTTGCTTTATTTTCAATCATTTTTTTAAGGCATACTGCCTGAATACCAAATCCTCTTGCCTTCATTATACCTTCATGTTACTTGCCCATTCCCATCACTATACTCCTTTGTACTGGAGTTCAAATTTTCCAGAGAGTAACCTCGCGTATGTTTTGTGATTTTTGTTTTCCCCTTTATTTTCCAGGAGCTTAGTGTTGGTGATAAAAAAGAGCATCACTTCATTAAGCACTGCTATCCTCATTTCACTATTGCTGTCAGTTCAGAAAACATCAGCATTGTTTTTGACTCCTGCAAAGACATGATACAGCGCTTGCATCTTGCCAAAGCTGGTATAATTCGCTAGATGTCATAGAGAATCCCAGATTGATGTTCATGCTCATCAAACCATATGCTGCCTTCATGCCCATGCTGGCATATCAGTGTCTTGGACTTGGTATACAAACATTTTGTTTACACACCATTTTAATCTCTGATTTAAGTTTCTTTTGTTTACTATGTTATGATGCTTAGTTTGTCAATATTACCATGTAATGCACGTTTCATCGTATTTCACTCAACATAGTAGGCTCTCTGAAAGATATAATATTGCAATAGATATAATATTATAATAAAGCAAGCTGTAATAGTGTGAATTGTGTCAATAATAAAAGCCTGAACACCCTTCTGCCATGTGTCTGCAGGACACACAACAAATAATTCAAAACCTTATTAGCTTTAACAAAGCCAACATCTTGGGATGCTGAAATAAAAAAGAGAACATTATTTTCGTAATGTGTGTACAATAAAATATGCTACCATTTAAAGGTACTTTAGATCAATTGGCATAGTGCACCTTATTCAGAGGTTTATACATGTACATGTATTATTACAAGTACTAGCAGTACCACTAGCTGGTATACAGAGGCGTAGTAGCAGATCAAACTTGTCAATACATGTAAGTTGCCTGATTGTATGTGGATCACAGCAGCTTAAACTTTAACTGTCCAAATGGGCCATTCTAATTTGTACTTTCTTTGACTACTATATTTCAATGAAAAAAAAACAGGAGAAAGCTAATAACAAACCTTCCTGTACCCCATGCTGGTCTAAGTTAACTGCATGTTACAATCACAGTGTTGGAGATCAAAGTTCTACAGTGATAATAAATATGAAGGCACGTTAAAAAGGGGTTTCTGAGATCAACAGTGCAAAATGAAAACAAACCTGTGTGAGAATGAGGAAATCAATTTAAGACACTAAACCCAGACATTACCAAAGAAATGTGAACTGTGAGTTTGTGAGTCTTCTTTGATGGTTGTTTCTCTTTTAAGAAGCCATCTTAACAATGACCTGCAGTTTATAACTTTTTTTGAGCTCAAGTTACCATGGAGTGAATACAGTTGTGATTGAAAAAGGTCTGATCCTTGCCGGATCATTGCCAGAGAAGGTAATGCATAGTATTCTTGCTGTGTCAAGTAGAATTGGACAATGCTAAAATAATTTTGTAATGAGTCACTTTTCTTGAATTCCCTTTAAACTCTAATTGTGCGAGTCCGAAGCAAAAAGCCCATCATAAACATACTGTACAGATGTAAACTATGTCATGTAGAGTAGCATCATCAATATGGAAATAAAATGTTAGTTAGCAGTATCAGAAATTTGTGCTGGAAATAGGGGGATGGGGAAGAGTGGGGGGTGATGGGTGACACCATATAACTTTATCACACACCTCTTCCTGGTTCTTTATCCCAGTTAGTTGAAATATGATCACGTGTGGTTCACCAATATGGGTTAATACATGAATTTGATGTCATTGTGACTCAATATGCATCTAGACATTGCACACACATCAATTCCAGAGACTGGTGCCCAGTTAGGTACTATTGCGGTTATTGCGCCCTCTGGAGGTTCTTCTGAATTGAACCAGTTTTCTTTCCTTAATTGTATACAGCAACTCAAAATTAGACTGCTTTTATGGAGATTAAAATTAATCTTCAGTTTTTCCAATTTTTGAATTGGTATTGGGTGAAAAGTTAAATTTAAACAGTTAAAATCCTTTAAGAATTCTTTTCCTTGATGAATGTAACCACTCAAAATTAGACTGCGTCAAGGGACACTAAAGAGAACCTTTAATTTTTTTTGGGGGGGGGGGCAATTTTTGAAGTGCTATTGAAAGTTGAGATGAAATAGTTCAAACCCTGAAAGAATATTTTTGTAGTTTGGGTGTGTTATAAAACACATATGGACTGGCCAAATTCGGTCACTGACAGTCCCTCAGGGACACAGACATGCACTAGTGACCTCATTGCCAGTCCATGTGTATAATACAGAAGGTAATGTTCATGATACTGATGTATATCTGTCATATGTATTCAAAATGGCATATTTATGGCTTTTTGACATTCTTTGTCCTTTTTTTTGAGTGATATCGAGTTCGTATTACATGCAGTTCTTCACAATCCACTTTAATATTTGGCTTACCACAAAAAGGGGGGGGGGGTACCATAGCCCATCCCCCACCTCAAAAAGTGGGGGATATATACCCCCACCCCCTGGTTAAAATACTAAGATTTTTGGTAAACTAAACAAAAGTGCTCTTCCTAGGTAGAGGTATTTATTCCTTCATAAAAGCTTTGTACAAATCATTTTCAAGTGTAAAAATTGTATAAAGGAAGCATGTTAATTATGTTTTCTGTACAGTGTAGTTTTGCAACGTAAAAATTAGATAAATGGTCTACTTCAAATTTTCAGTGCTTCAAAAAGTTTAATTCCTGCCTACCAAACTGTTGGACAGGACTGACTTATGCAGCAGGTTCCTTATGTTGCCATTATCCTCTGTCTCTGAATGACTCGCTTCCCTTTTGGGGATGGGCAAATCTTGAACCTCAGTGAGCCATCACTTAACATGAGATAGATTATGTAAGGTAGTCTTACATGGTATGAACCGGAAAACCATTTTTCTACATTTAATATACTGGTTATTGATGTGTCGATATTTACATTCACAAATACTTAAATATGTTGGAGAGGAAGATTGAAAACTTCTTTTTCCTCTTTATGGTGGTCCAGTGTACATTATAGTTCATTTTTCAGTACGTAAATTGAAGAATATTCTATGTGTGTTTGAAATAGTTTATGTTCAGACACAAACCTTATCCGTAAATTATCTTTGACGTTGAAGAAACTATATGCATGTAAATGCATGTGTTCAATGCAAAAATGCAAGTCACCCTGCTGCATTTGGTCCCATGGGCTGACCCGACAACCCTGAAGTTAAACAGATCCCCCTATGCATGGGAACAATACTACAGTTTTGGTTGAGGACCTGCCATAATGGAAGTAACATGACTTCGAAAGAAACAAAAAAGGAATCAAGGAAAAGAGTTGTAGTAATAGCACTCATCAAACACCACACTTTTCATATTTATTGCATTTATTATATCAAACAGTAAATATTCAGTATAAGCCTTTTGTGGCAGCTTATGAAAGGTTTCCAAGGAATAAAGGATTTTCCATGAACAGAGGATCTGCAAAAAAATTCAGATTGTTATTTCAGCTAATACTGATTTTTCATACTTGTAAAATTCAGAGTCAATGGCTAAAATCAATAAATTCTTATTCTTAAACTCCACTGAAAACAAGCACAAAGCTCATGACTTGTTATGATTGTTATTTCATTTAGTACTGATTTTTCATATTCGTCAGACTCAGGGTCCATGGCTAAAATCAATAAATTCTTAATATTTACTTTTAACTCAAAATAAATCTTCCTCGGAAAAACAGGCAGGTCTATCTGCAGATCACATTTGCTCCATTTTTCCAATTTGCTGATTTACCAAGTTTGGATTGCATAGAGAGATGTTAGTGGCATCAGACAAGTTTGCAGAACATGTATGTGCACATCAGAGTTGTAATGACTCGAGTCAAGGACTTGACTCGAGTCTGACTTGAGTCACAATTTTTGGCCACTCAACTTGACTCGAGTCCAGATGGGTAAATGACTCAACTCGAGTCTCTGTAACCAAATGACTCGACTCAAATATCTCATGGAGACTCGACCCAAGTACAAGCTTATAAGACTCAAGTCTCAAAAAAATTAAAAGCAAAATTTCAGATGGCTAGATACCTGCTACCCTAATTCATTTTCAGTATGTCTAAATGAAAATAAAAATTAAAAAATGACTAACGTGTATTTTTTTAATTGTATTTTGTTAAAAATTTGTGAATCAAATTAACAAGCCTAGTACTTGACTCAACTTGACCACACAAAGTGAGTCGACTCGACGTCTTGACTGAATGACTTGACTCAACTTTAGTCACACTTAAAATGACTGGACTTGAGTCACCAAATAATAGTGACTCGTTACAACATAGGTGCACATCTTAAACACATCACCATCTGCATTTGCAACTGTACACATATGTGAAATCCTACAATAGCCAAGACTTCCATCTTTGTTTACAAAATGAGTGAAATAATTTTGAAAACTTTCTGTAAGATTTTGCAATAGTTTATTAATCAAATGCACCAATGAAATAGGGTATCTCTCCAAAATTTAAACAGTACATGAAAAGGCATTTTTCAAAAATAACAATGTACATGTATATTGTGACAAATTGCCAACCTTTCACTGTAAAACCTGCAGTAGGAACAAACCTGGGGTCTTTGACTAGGTGTGTGTAAAATAGACCTCAGTATAAGATTAAAAAAAATTAAATTAATAATTACCAATACAAACAACATATATCTTATAAAATGTTTGCTGGTATCCACTGCTTATCTGATTCAGACAGGCCAGGCTAACCCAAACAAGTTTAGTGGTTTGAGTAACAAGACATCTGCACCAGTAAAGGTTTAAGTAAATGTACAATTTTTCCATAAGCCCTTACTCAACAAGGAGTATACAGTGTTTATACGGGGAAAAAAACCTGATGTAAAAAAATTATCTTCCCATGCCAAAAATTACATCTTATAAAAATGCCAGTATTACATAATCTTATGAAACCTTTATGACGTATGCAAATACAACAGTGTCAATTAAAGATACAATTTTAACAATGTCATTTATAGAAGTTCCCTTAAAGTGTAGCTACAATTAATTTTTCTGAGACACAAAATTTGAAAACTTACTTGAAAATTCTTTCACACTCTTATTTGGTTAAATGCATTGAAAAGGGCACTTTTTAAAACACAATAATCCATGCTTTCCCAGGCAAATGAGGGCACTGTTGCTGTGATGTTATCTAAGGGAGACACAGTTCAGCGTATAGGTTTTTCTGTTAAAATTGTGAACCTTAAATTTGCTTACTGAAAATGGAAAAGGGACTAATGATTGCTTATTGCTATGTGCATAAACAACAATGAATTCATGAAGAGAAAATTTAGTCCCTTAAAATCTACTATAAAGTGCAGGACCTTCTGTACAAACATATCAGCACTGACGCTTTCTTCCTCGGATGACATTGCGGTTTTGCTCATAAATATGTACATACACAGCATAAAAATGAAAAAGGCAGTAAAGCACCCTCTAAAAGAGTGAAAAAAAAGTTGAAAATAAAGTTACCTGGGACACAAAGGTGCATTGTGAAGGTTTGTATTAAACCAAAGGTGCCTAAGATTTTCTGATTCTTTGTTGTTTGCTGTTCCCTATACAATTCATGGGGTGACAATTTTGTTTCAAAAACTCACTTCTTTGTTAACTGCAAGTTTTTATCAGTTTATGTTTTTCTTTTCCTGATTTTACTGTGCCATGAGCATCTCTTGAGGTGGAAATAAGAGCATTATAAATATCCATTACTGTTATCATTATTGTTAAATTGATTACAGCTACCATATAAAATGTACCTTGAGAAATACTGTTTAAAGCAATGTCGGTTAAGCTTTTTGTCAAAATTATAAAAGATTTCTTAGATGTATATTTGTCTTAAAATAAGAGGGTCAGGAAATATCTTTTGAATATATATATATGAATATGAAAAATCAAAATCAACTATAAGTACACATCCCCCTTTCACCAAAACAAAACCATCCATCATGAAAGAACCATTTACCAAAATCTGCTTAGTTTTGGTTCACTTATATACGTGATAAACTTGAAAATGAAAATGCCACTGTGGTATCACAAAATGTTAGTTGATTAATTGCTTACAATTAAAGCTGGTGATATGCTTTCCTTTTATAATAACCTCTTCAGCAGTTTTCATTCTTGATAGTCTTGAAACTGTTTCACTGTCATAAACAATTTTAGCTGTCATTTTTGTTATGTAGTCTAAAACTTTAATCTCATTCGGGCAGCTTTACAGGTTCCTGAATATTAAAGTCAACAAATTGACACTGGTGCCAATATAGAATAGCATCAGTGATAAGTGTTTGGTGGTCTTCGCCTCAGTGCAGTGTGTCTCGTAGAATGTGAATGCTGGGTTATGTCATGCTCTTCTCATTCCATGGGCCGATCTAGCCGGTACAAAGAACATGTCATTTTACCCCTATGGTCACCTTCATAGATGTGTACCATGAAGTCCATGTCCATTTCTATTAAGGTTGGACAGCTCTGCAGGAAGGTAAAATGAAGTCTGCAAAAATAATTTTCTTAATACACAATTTACATTTTACTTTGAAGAAGAGTCAGTAAAAAAAGAGCAGTCAATGCAGCCTATTAAGTTTATGATTCAATGTGGATTGTGAAATTGAAACAAAGCAACAACCTAAAATGAAACAATAAAATATGGTGACTACAGTAACGTTATAACGAAAAAGTGAATCAATATTTATTTGAAAGGTATACCAAGATAAAGACTCATTAGAAATCTGTGGTTCACCAAAGCATTGTAAAGGCAGATTCTTGTGCTATTTACAGAAAGAAACCTAATCCAAACCAGTCATTTTGTTGCCCTCGCATTTCTGCTTTCAACAAGGTACCCTAAAGTCCAACACTGCCAGTGACAATGACAGACGAGTTAGAGCTCTGGCTCTACAGGATTCAAGAAGGTTTGTTCAATAGTGTGTACTCTACCCCACCTAGCGTGGGCCGAGTCTACTAGAGAATACATACCCAGATTACCAATACTAATTGCATATTTCCCAAAGCCATTACTCCATTCGCTATTAATTCTCAATCAACAGGTAATGCGGCCTGATCTCCCACAATGCCTAGCAAAACGGCTGCCATGTTCTTCCTCTTTTTCGAAGCACATGAGCACCGAGGCCGAGTGGGAGGAAGGGTGGTAGAATGATAATCTGGGTAGGTATTCTCTAGTAGACTCGCCCCACTCCAGGTGGGGGAAGAGTCTACTGCCTGCAACCTACCCAGATTACAAATACTAATTGCAGAGTAGCACTGCAACAAGGAAGTGGGTAGCCAAGGTTGCACTACCATACGTACATAGTTGGAGATAATTCAAAGATATTATGAGTATAAGGGACTCTCAACTTAAAAAGGGGGACAAAACCTCGACTCCCATAAAAGGTTGCTTGAGTATGATGACAGTTTCTCTGGTAGCCTAGGCGGCAGTGTCTAAAGAAAGGCTTCCTTCTTGGGACGATCTCTGGACAATGTCAATGATGTCCGGACCAAGTGGTATGATCAAGGTTAGGTGCTAGTGAGATGGGTCTGGATGTAAGATAAGAGACCTGGGTTGGAAGATGATGTACGGACCAAGTGGCATGATCAGGGGAATGTTGACCAGAAGTCTGACGATCTGTGGAAACCATGGCTACCTTAGCCAGAATGATGCGATGAAGAGGATGACCCAGGTGTCCTGTTGTATCTTAGACTTCACCCTGGGGATGAGCGAAAAAGGTGGAAATGCGAATGCTAGAAGTCTTTCCCAGGAGACACATAGAGCATTTGTTGCCCATGCTTGGGAATGTGGATATCAAGTGCAGAAGGTTGGGAGTTGAGTGTTCAGGTGGGATGCAAAGAGATCCACATGGGGCCTGTCTATCATGCAGAACAGTGTCTTGAATACCTTGGGTTGGAGCATCCACTCGGTACGATGGACCAAGGCTCGAGAGAGAGCATCTACCAGATCATTTTCTTCTCCAGGAATGTGTTCAGCAAATAGACCGATAGAGTGTTCTACGGTCCAGTAAAGAAGGTGCCAGGTTAGGAGGAACAGGCGAGGAAAGTGTGTGCCCCCCTGATGGTTGATATATGCGACTGCTGTTGCATTGTCTAATCAGACCAAGACCCTCTTATCTTCTATGATGAGCAGAAGTGCAGGAGGGCTTAGAAGAAGGTTTAGGCCCAAGAGGTCAGAAGCTTGTTACAAAGACACTCCCCCCAGCCTAGGTTCAAGGCATCTGTCTTGATCACCAAGTGGTGTCTCTGAGTTGTAAAAGATTGTCTCTCACTGACCACCAGATTATGTGTGCAAGAGCCAGGATCGACATCGGAATCTGCAAGCTGAGAGGGTCCCTGCTCGGCTTGAAGTGTGTCAGGAGGAAGAGTTGGGAGAAGGGAAACCCAGAACTTGGACCATTTTCCACTGAAATAGACAGAGGCAAGGCTCACATGGGGATAGACTGCCCATCGAGAGGGGTTCCACCTCATTAGACATCATATCCGCAGAGTCGGGTGTGTGCAGATCCGGGTCAGTGATTGTCTCAGTCAGACGTTAAGCATTGATGCTGTGTTGACTCTCTGTGATGCTGCTGTGGTGGTTCAGGCTGATTCTCCTGTTTGGCCCCGGAGTCTTATGAACGGGGCAGAGGGCACAAGTACATTTCCGGATCTGGGTACGCAGCGATTGGATGGTGAGGAGGATAGTGCTCTACAAGTGTGGACAAGGTTTCCAATAGTGGTGCAAGTAGGTGCCAAGGTTTGGTTCGGGTTTGATTCGGACATGGTTTGGCAACTTTTTGCTGAACTTCAGTTCAGTTCAGGTGCGGACATGTACACAAGTGCACATACATGTACACATACAATGCACATTGAGACATGGAAGAGCTCGCTATGAACATGCCATATAGAGTACTTCCGTGTATAAAATATGTTAACACAAAAGCAATGAGTCTCCTCATCATCCCATCCACAAGCAATTTTGTTTAGGAGTTACAATTCCCTAGAAAGTTACCGTCGGAGGTGTGACAGTTCCTGACAGTGTTTTACAAACCAGAAGAGGTTGTGTTTGGACCACGCATCACTCAACAAAATGATAGCAGGATATGTGAAAACAGAAAAAAAACAGCATGCTCAAATGGGACTTTCCACCTTTGCAGGATACAAGATGAAATTAGGTTTCCAGCGAATTGTGTTTTGTTATTTTTCACAAAACAGATTCAACTACCAAACTATAGCTTTCGATGTATTCAAAGAACCTTCGGCATTCTTTCCGAGGACGACGCTCATGTGGCCAAAGGGGCGATTTTCCATCAATCTTTTTTGAATGGATAACAGCATTTTGTTATTTGAGATTTACGAACAACTTAGAGATATGGCAAAATCCATTGCAACGTATTCACACTACGACTTCGATCAAACATGATCAAACAAAAGGCAAATTAGGCCACTGCTCAAACCAAATCTTGTTGTGCCCTGGATCGCTGCACCGGCCCACCTGGCAAAATGAGTTTTCCCTCTGGAGTTGCCTTCGATCAAGCACGAGTCTGACTGTGATCAGCATCCAATCAAAATTCGTTTTGCACGGCCACTTAAGACATCATTGGCCTAACATGGAATGTAAGGGCGTGGCTATCAGAGATTTGCAAACAAATCTGGATATACATCAGCACAATTGGATGTGGTGAGAATTTAGAATTGTTGTGCAGCGGAAATGCCGTATGTTGCATGTTCTCGGTTGATTATTAGTGAATTCTCACCACATGCTTTTTACAACCATCGCGTGATGCAGGGCCACTGTATGTTTACTGTATGTGTACATTTACAGCATGTGTATATACATAAACATATGCATGTACATGTGCTGAGTGCTAGCGCCGATGCAGCATAACTCGTTTTCCATTTTTCATCGTGTTTGGTTTTATCAAGTTTTCTTGCCTGCATTCTGTGCACTAGCAATGCCATGCCACATTAAAGCCGAACATCTGAACAGACCAGTTTGGTTTGGTTCGGTTCGGTTTGAAAGTGCCATGTTCAATGATTTTTGGCTCAGTTCGGGGGTTCGGCTGCAGCACTAGTTTCCAAAATGGTGCAGAGTGCTTCCCTAGTTGAAGGAGAATCATCTTCATGCTTCTTCTTCTTGGAAGGACGGTCCAAGGAAGATCGGGTCTGTGTCTTGCATTTCTTCCTAGATGAGGACTCTGATCAGGAAGGGTATGCCAAAGCCAGATTTAGGCAGAGCTGTCGGAGATGTATCCATAGGGAGGTTCCGTTGTGTGTGAGTGTTGCCAGAGTTCAGGGCAGGCACAGCAGCTTGAGCAACCTGACTGATCAAGGGAGGAGGCCGAAAGCCCCTGTGGTGAAGCAGTGCAGGGGGCTCGACAGATCTGGCTGGAGACTGGTGAGCAGCAGTAGCTGTAGTGGGCCTGGCCCCAGTTGCCATATCTGATGCAAAATCCTAGGCGGGACAGGAAATGGGTAAATGCTGTTGACAACTTGGCCATAGAAACTTGATGATTGGCCATGGTGAGCATGGTATTTTACCCACAGCAGTGCTGTGAGACTACCCTGTCTGGTCAAAGGTCACAGAGTGATAACTGGGTCTGCGGAGGATGCGGGTAGGCACTGCTGACTTCCTGGCCATAAGGGCCAGGGGTGGTAGGTTTACCCAGTACAATGCTGGACCAGCCCCTAACTAGAAACCAGGTGCCCACACCGTGAGCACAACTAGGAGGGGGGGATGTTCCAAAATCAGTCTCTGTGGAATGCGTGATCTAATATAATACACACAGAGGGCAATACAAAAGAAAAACACTTACATGTGCACAGCTACATGTACAACCAAATGCAGTGAAAGGTGGCAGGGAAGAGACATTCTGTCACAATCTTTATTTCTGTCATAAGTAAGAGATGTAAAACACACATCTATAAATGTCATGGAAAAGGAGTCAAAAAGAAAAAAAGGCCTACCACAAGCTTTATACCTATCAAGAATAGTTTATAAGGAAGAAGCAGTTGATGGAGTGTCACAGAATGCTGTACAGTGAATGAAAAAACTCTTGAAAACTCGGCAAACAAGTCCGTTTGTAATAGACTAAAAAAAAAGACAAAGAACATAGCAGCCATTCCACTAGGAATGGGAGATGAGGGTGCACTATCAGTTGATTGAGAATTTAGTGAACTGCATTATGGCATAAGGAAATATGCAATTAGTACTGGTAATCTGGGTAGGTTGAAGGCAGTAAACTAAAAATGTGTTCTCAAATTGCTCCCATTTTAATCAGGGTTCCTGGATTGATACTTCCACCGAATGTCCCTCATGTACAATACTTTCATTTGTGACTGATAAGTATACATCTACATGTACCTTGGAAATTCCTACTTTTTGAGTATTAACTTCAAAAATCTGTTTTGTGAAATTCTAATTCTTGTAGGGTACCATTTCAGTACCCCATGAGGACAATGAATATTCCTTGTGTGGCACTTGTTATGATTTTGGTACCCCTCAACGTGAAATAAACACACGCACACCAACAAAGGAAATACCCACTGGAATATAAATGTGAGTGCAGGCGTGTCATACATGTGTGAACCTCTGCACAAAAGAAGTCCATATAATGCAGGGTACAATACGTGTTGTGTGGCTTTGCACACATCCACACTCCCCTCTATGAAAACAGTTTTAGAGGCATTTTGGGGTCAAGGTTTTCCGTGGCAAAATGAAGAAAAACAGTCCAGGAAATCATCAACAAAAATCTAGCTCGAAGGAGTTATCCTAGTAGGAGAAAAAGGAGCATTTACCTTAACCACAGGACAAAAAAAGGAATCTCCACACTTTGTATGCAAAACAAGTGTGTGCGTGTGAGTTTGTTTCTGCATTCAATTGGGGACCCTAAACAATCGAAGAAAATAAGGTCCCCGATTGACAGAGGGTCCCCGATTGACAATTGTGTACAAAACATATGGGTGGTCTTCTAAAAAAGTTAAAGTACAAACAAAAGAGGAACAATGGGGGGTCCCCAGTTCCAGGCAAATACACACTTGTGTGAATGTGAGTTTAGAACTTGTGCATGCATGTAAATACACTGTCCCAAAAGGTTTTATTATTATCACTATTTTTTAACTACATTCATTATACTATTCAAAGAATAATCCACCAAAACTCAATATACTGTTATAAAAATGTTTTGCTCTACAAATGCTTTTTGTTACATGGGCCAAATTTGTGGTTTAAAATATTGAGTTGCTCAAATATTAATGTTTGTACCGATGAATATTTTAGAACTCTGAATAGAGGGATCCCAATACAATGCTTTTAGCGTCGATCTGCACACTTCCGCATTTGAAAACGAGGCTGTATGTGTCAGCTTCAATTCTTAATATGATCAGACGATTGAACTAAGGTGGAAAGCTCTCAAAAGAGATCATATCCTTGCATGGTGCTACTGCAAGCTTTCCACCTTAGTTGTCTGTCACCATGAATAGCTTGAAATCCCATCAGACGATTGAAAGTAAGGAGTCAAGACACAAAATAAATAAAGGTACGTTAAATCCAAACTTTTCAGGCTGCACATTTTTGTGGAAGAAACTTTCAGAATTACTTGACATGTGAAATCAAAAGAAAAAATAACGACAATTTACCGTGAACTAACGTACCTGCAATGGCTGTGTATCTTGAGCAGTGGGCGTGGTTTAAACTGAAGTGGCGTCACACTTTCGAACCGGATAGCATATATTGTGTGGACTCCGCGGGCGCGCGCGACGAAGTTGAACACAGAGAGCCACGGTTTCGATGCAGATATGCACAGACGGCGCTAATGTGAAATCCCTCTATATTATATATACATAAAAAAGACATACCGGTGTATCAAACTCAGCAATATCCAAGTCCATCATCTTCAACAGGCGGCCTGTCTGGTTACAGTAAATTCCAAGCTCTCCTTTTGTGCCTACTGGTGAAAAGCCAGTGGTTGTTACAAATGACACCAGCAAGAAGTCAAGTTCACTGTCAAAACTAATGTCTCTGATTTGCTGGTAATATAAAGAAAACAAAAACCCAAGTTAGTGTTTAAATCCTCAGGCTAGAATAGGACTAGAAACAGATTAAAGAATAATACATTATCCCTGATGTAATGTGAAAGTTAAAAAACAAAATGGAGTGGTAAAGGCTACGACATTAGCAACCATCAGTTTGTATTCTTATATTACATCCCTAACATATGAATTTACATGAAAGGAAGTTTAATAATGATTTGTGAGCTTCTTGTTCTCCTCTTCTAATTTCAAAGGTAATGACTGATTACTAATGAAGCAAACAGGGGCACATATGAACACCCATGCTTTGGACGGAGAGGAGTGGGAAATGGGAAAATTCTCTCAAAAAGGAAGCAGTATATAGCATCAACATTTTCATCCTCAAAAAACATTTCTAGAAGCTGACAATAAGGATCACAGGGTTTCAGAACAGCCGAAAAGTTGAGAAAACCTGTTACAACAAACAAAAATAAATCCTGAATTTAACCAGGATCACCCTTGCACCAATGTGGGCTGGATTATCCAATAGGTCAGTGTGTGATAAAACAAACAAACCGACACCAACACTCACACAGACACAAAATAATTAACACTGTTAGCATGTCTATAACTTTTTGAAGTTTGGAAAGCTTCAAACTGGCTTGTACATAGCTTAGTTCAGCTTAGTGTCAATTTGAAATGTCTCCAGGGATTACCTGTGCTATGGAATTGCTGCCGGTCCCTAGTTCATGGCCTTTAACCACTCCCTCCCGGGGATTCCGGGTCCGGACACGGATGCTTTATATGCGTGGCCGGAGTCTCCGAACTCGGACAAAGGGAACAGGGCCTTGTAACCAAAGACCGTACTTGGAACAAAAGACCAGGCTGCAGGGAATAACCGACATTTTTTCACTCTCAAAAGTGGAGATAATCCAGCCTTGTTTTGAAACAGTATACCACGGTTTGGGGCATTTAAAGCAAGCGCATTACCACTGGGGACAAAAGCGCTCCACCACTGAAGTAATGAGCCACACAGCACCGCTGCATGCTAATCTGGCCCGTATTGAAAAGTGGTCAGTAGCACACTGAGCCAGGTTCGTGAACAAAAGGAAGTTATATAACACTGCACAATCTGGGCTCTTTCTACAAGGCTGCAGGCCTGGCTGAAATACTCGTCAATAGATTTTGTCTTTCAGGCTAGAGTGGACACTAGACAGTCCTTCACGTGTTTGTAAGTGTCCAGTAAATGAAGGAATTGAATTTTTAAAGAATTTTGAAAACAGAAAAAATGATAAATATCCCGGCCCAGCATCATCAACATTGATAACTGCCCCGGGCAGGAAGTGGTTAACACTGATACTACATAAAACAGACACAATATATTTCAAGATGTATTTTTATTTTTTTTTTGCGTTGGGGAGGTGTTAATTACATATAACGGGTTTGCCCTTACCCAACGTATATTAATATACTCTCGGACAAGCACTGAGCATACAGTGCTTATTAATATACGTTGGGTAAGGGCAAACCTGTTATATGTAAATAGACACAATATAGATCGACTTGCAAAAAAACTACCATTAGGCAGGGTAAATTCTAAAGTAAAGACAATGTGTGACCTTATACACGCTAACTAAATGGTGAAAAATAAGAACTCCACACATCTGCAGGGCAATGAAGATGACCAGTCAAAATACAGTCTGAAGTGCAACATTAAAAGAGGAAGCAATGATTGGTCTCTCTTTTCCCCCAAGCTAAGGTGGGTTTTTTGCATTCGAGGAACTCATTACTGATACCACTCACATTTCGCACTCTAAGCTGTTTCCGCCATTTAGTGCTGACCCTACGACCTGACAAGGTTGTCTCCCAATTAGCCAAATCTTTTTGCTGTTTTTCTTCTTCTCCTTCAAGATGTTTGTCCACAACTGGATGACTCACTCTATATACAATCTGCAACTCGATCTTCCCATCATCTCTTGTATGGAATGCATTGACACTAAGAAAATAATCACACAAAAATAGAACAGCCCACTGGAATACTTGAAGGCATTAATCAGCAAATACATGTCAGTTAGAGGAGTCTCAGTTTCTATGAGCCAATCACCAAACACAGCTTGTGTTTTCTGTATGTGAACAGGATCAAACAAACACACACAAATGGAAAAAAAAATTGACAAATTCCTTTCTAGTTGTATTTTTAAAAACTCATTTAACCTTACCATCTTTTACATGTACGGGTATCTTCATTGAGTCATTATCTTCAATTAGTGCTTAAGTTCTGTGACAAGCATTTCGTAAGTGGCACTAAAAAATACAAATTACATCATGATCATTGAAGGATCATGAAGTGCTAAGCAATAAACCAGGAAAGAAGTATTCATTCTAGACTGGCATCCTCAGAATTTATAATATAAAGATGAAATATCCAAATGTACACATTCTCATCTACAAGTGTATCTACATGTAAATGCACATCAAATAATGCACGGCAATCTTTAAGGCCCACCACATTAAAAAAGAAATAAAGTTTAAAAAGTTTACACAAGTTGTCTTTATTCACATGTTGACTGCTGACTGCGAGTAAACTCATATGAAATGAAAGGCTATTGTAACATAAATTGAATACACTGACATCACTAAAGAACACAATTTATAGAATGCTGGCAGTGTGGAGGACATACATCCGTAAAATGTTTATTTTCAAATGGACACATGAAAGGTACCTGTTAAATATGCACGTATGCATACAACACTTGGTAAATGAAAATGCCCTGTGAAATTATGCACGGCAGTCAACGTGTTAAATCAATCATACTATGAAATGCGGCAGGCAAATTCCTCTCCCACAGTAGTGTAGGAGAGTGTGCTAATGAAAACCTATCCAAACAGTCACTACATTTCCAAATTTCATTTGCACCTTATTTCATTCGCTAAAATTTGATCCAATGTAGTGCGTCCTCTACCAACACAATGCATAGTTGCGCCACCGCCATGTTTGTCCTATTTTGGAGTGCAAGGTCCAAGCCAGAGTGGGGAGGACGGGAGGGTGTCGACTGTTTGGGTAGGTATTTGCTAGCAGATTCTCCCACACTACAGTGGGGGAAGAGGAGAGTCAACTGCACTCATCCTACCCAAACAGTCGCTACATTTGCAGAGTAGCACCGTACTCTGGAGGAAGGTAGGCGAGGACACACTGAAAGTGATGAGGACCCACCAAAAAAAGGAGGAGGCCAGTATCCTCATTGTCTCAGTGAAGAAACTAGTATTGTCTCACCATGAAAGAACTCATTGCAAGACTGTACTGAGGTAGCATGAGGTGAATGATGATAGTGTTTTCCAGCACGCTGCCCTGCAGATATCTTCTGAGAGGACACCGCTGAGGGATGTCTGCAAGGTAGATACTGCTCTAATGCTGTGATCTGCGATTGGGTGGCAAGGGGAAGACCATAGAACTACTGGGCTGAGGGCAAGGGCATAAGCAAGTATTAAACCAGTCCCAGCTGAAAGGGAGAACACCTGTCACACAGGCTCGTAGGTGAGGGAACCTGGTGCAGAACAGCACCAGCTGAGTGTTCTCTGTCGTCGACAAAAGGTTAATATGTGAACTGTCAAATACCTTGAAGATTAACTCGGCCATGTTGTGATGCAGAGTCTGCTCCATTGGGTGAGATTTTCTCTGAGAGCGCATGTCTGAAATAGAATTGTAATGTTGGCTGCCAGGAGATGGGTTGCCTTCAGGTTGATTTCAGAATCCAATGCCCTTGGGGACCATTGTCTCATTAAACAGGACAGATTTGTCCTAGCGCAGAACAGAAGTGACGTATCGCACTTAAGGTTGCCTGGAGTTCCAGAATGTTGAAGAGACTTCCCAATAACTCAGGAACCCCTGCCCCTGAGACGTGGAAGTTCGGGAAGGGAAGAACTCCACCCAGATTGGGAAGGATCACACTATGACGCTATTTAATGCAATGCAAATCCCTGCCGAAAAATAGAACCCTTCACGAACCGGCGGATCCGCAGATGGAATGCAACGTGCATGCTTATGTATAATGTGCCCGATCTTCTACGTATCGTGAATATTTTTGCTACAAGCTCTTACGTCAGTCAACCCACTGAACCGAACCTAAAATCATTTAATATGGCACTTTTGAGCCAAACCGACCCACACTGTTAGGTTCGGACGTTCAGCTTTGATATGACATGGCATGGATAGCAAACGAAATGCATGCAATAGCAAGAAACGTTGAGAAAAAAAACAGAAAGACAATGGAAACAGGACAAGTTAAACCCCCACTAGCTCAGGACTGTACATGCACACGGGCAAGTACATCCAAGCTTGCCTTTGACATTGCACGTCACACGGCAGTCAACTGTATACATGCATGACATGACCTGCTCAGCGATTTAGCACATAGGGGTGCAGACTACTAATTCAAGTGAGAATTTCTGACCAGCTCATTAGCATTAGAAGTGCTCCCCCCACAGTATCTTTTGAAAAAGGAGATTGTTTGGCCCCCAAAATGGTGAGATTGTGTATTAAAATCCTTGCCAGGATCAACTCCCTGGGTCTTTGAGCTTTCATATGAGAGCAGAATGGCTAAAAACTACGGTTGAAAAATGGTCGTAAGTGCCTGAGAAAGTTGAGGGTTGGCCACTTGAAAAATGGCTGCAATCGGACTTCGGAAAAATCACTTTTCGGGGGGTGATTTTGTTTTGCGGGAATAATTAAAAATGTAATTGGTTAACCCACAAAAAAATTTTAAAAAATAGAAAGATTAGGGACTAGACAATAATTTCATTTGTGTTTCTGAAATCTCGGGGATGTTGGTATGCATGTTAACTGGCCCCAAACAGTGCTGATTTTATACTGCTTTCAATGGGGCTTGAATTAGTGGGCTGTACCCATAGGCGGGCGGGGGGCTACAGCCATACCAATTTGTTGGGGCTTATGGGTACAAAACTGCCTTGGGGAGTTTTAATTGGTAAAAGCTTCTGCGCTCTTGACAAATGGTTATTCGGACTATAGGTGCCGCCATGTTGAATTTTAGCGCTGGCGCGATTGATTTTGTGCACGCAGAAACCAGTCACTTCCGATTAATTGTCATCAAGGACTAATGAACGGTAACTATACCATAAAACTTCAGTTGTTTATTATAACTAAACTACTCCAGACACATGTATCATTTTTATTAAAACATTTCATTGTTGTTTTGTAAAAAATCAGTGAATTTACCATGTAAACAGGTGCGGAAATTTATCCACACGCCAATATATTGAAGCCAATTCCAACTTGTGGAACATTAAAGGAAGATGATTGACATTTCCCCCAAACCGCTCCTTTATTAGGTAATCAGTGGATTTACCCAACGGGACTCTGCGGTTTGTGGCAAACCATCTCTCCACCGTTAAAACATGGTCAAAATGGGTGACTGTTTGTTTGGATATTGATGGACCAGGAGAGGATTAAGGCTTGAATAACAAAGGGTGGTGGATTCAGTTGAAACAAGGTTAAAATTGAGGTGAACATTTTGACTTGATCTATGCGGTTAAAACAGGGTTAAAATCAGGGTGGAATACATTTCAACCGAGAAACAACATTAAACCCTATTTTAACGGATCCAAATTTCATAGTGTCAGTAGAAAGTTGTAATCCAGATGGTTCTGTATCAGCTTCCAGTGAAGGTGTGTCCAGATGAGGTCCATTATGAAAAACTGGGAGGTTGATTGGGTCAAATTTTGACTGGAAGAGTGCCAGTAAGTGGGGCTGGAGGGGCCTCCTTATGAAGACGATAAAGAGATACCAGATCCACCAGGCTCATCAATAGGCCAAAGAAGTATTGTGTTTGTGTGCCGGCGCCCCGGAAGGGGTCGAGAACGGCACCTAGATAAAATCGGGGCATGAGTAGGGACAGAAATTAATTTTTCCGGTTTCACTACAGGCTGAGACTGCGCGCCTACTATATGAGCCTCGGCCTCTCAGCCAATCTGGCCGGTTAGCATGGACTGAACTGAGACTGTAGCTGTACTGTGGCTGGACTGTAGAGAAACTGGCCGGCAGTGGACGCTGCACCTAAAGGCTAGTGTCAGCTGCAGCCTTGTGTGGAGAACTGTCTATGCTGAGTTAGTTGGCAATAACTTCTGCCATTAAGGTGAAGACCCCTTGTGATATTGAGAGACCAGATGGCAGGTCAAATCCCAAAGATTCTTCTGGTGCAGATGCATCAAAGGAACTTGCAGAACTGTAGATGGACTGAAGCCATTTTCAGATCCACCAACAACGGCCAGGATAGAGTCAGCAGGGGTTGCATTACTGTGGAATGCTCAGGATGTCCCCATGTAGAGCTTTTAGGGATAAAAGAACCTTCCTTGTTTTTATTGTGTGTGTGTGTGTGTGTGTCTTCAATGCTTGTCTATATGATCTTGTCAGAGGGACTGGAGTTGAGTGAAGAATTTGGTCTGATGGAGGGGCACTTGTTAATTCAAGGAATAGCTGAAATAGCTTGCAAGAACCCTTCTGACGTGAAAACTTGTCAGAGCCTTACACAAAGTAGTACGCAGTCCCCGAACACGGTGCCCTCTTTATTTGCATGGGCTGAAAAGGGGAGGGCAGTGCTGAACTTGACTGGCGCAAAGTGTGAACAAACGGACGAAGTGAGTTGGTTTGATGCAATTAGCCTTCAATTCCATCATCTCTATGAGCTGCCACACGAATAAGTCTTTCTCGTAAAAAGGGAGAGGCACTGAATTTTTGCTTCCACACCCTAGCACAGGATGTCCATGGCCTCAAGTGCATTAGCTCTGTGAGCAAAGTGAGGTGGGAAATGAGTGAGATGAGGAGATTGCTCAAAGATAGAGTTGGCACTCTTATCCATGTTATCTCTCCTATTCTTATGCATAGGAGAGATAATCTGGTGAGAGTATCACAAGGGAAACCGCATCAAGAGGCTCTATCCAACTTGGTTAGGGTAAGCTTAAGGTTGGACTTGTCCTCGTCAA